TTGTGTTCGTCAAGCTGCTCTACTTCTTGTGGTAACAGATGATTTTCTACAAATTCTTCAGCATGGTAATATTCCATGCTTTGATCCTGATAAAGCAGCTTACATTGATGAGTGGCGTACTTTTATCGAGGAAGATAATGGAAATTCTCTGGCCTCAATTTCAAGTATTGGAAGTGAAACTCAACAATCCAATGAAGAGCATGTAGCTATTGAACTTCACGGCTGAGTGCGAGAACACAAGCAAGCAGGCAAGAAAGTTACATAGCTTATGTCCAACCTCTGCATGATTATCCCATCGTCCCCCTTCTGTGATTAGCATTGTTATTGCAATTATCTCATTTTATTGTTGTGATGTTGTTCTTGCATTGTTCCTCAGTTGTTATAGAGTGTGAATATTACTCATTCTGGATTATCTTCCACGGATGAGTTTATCACTTCTTATCTGCACTTTTAACCATGATATGGATTTCTCTCGGATCTCTTCGAGCTGCAATAAGCTTGAGACAATGCAATACATAACCTAAGGCACTCTAATGAAGCTTGAGAAATAGTTTTCTTTCCTAAATTACAACTTAACAGGGGCTATGTCTGATCTCCAAAACTGAATTTCATGTGCTCGAGTCATGTTTCATTTAATCATGCGCCTAGTTAGATGCTTGATAGGCTCATGGTCGCTGTGTGAACTGGACTCCATTGATTTAGTGTTTGATCATATTTCCGAATTGCATAGTCCATTGGATTACCTAATTTCCCATTAATATATCAAAAAATATTGTCAGCATAATGTTGTTTTGGATAGAAAAGCACCATCTCTGCCCTAAACTCGTTACTGTATCAGCGCTAGCAGAGGCTCGATGGTTGATCGTGGAAGTGAAAGGAGTTTCTTTTTGATCATTAACACATTCGTGAACTCAGTACAATTCAATTTTCCTCGCAATGTTTTCATGTCTTTAGTACGTAGCTTTAGACGAAAATGTTCTCTACTATATTCATAATAATAAACTTTTTTTTTTTGTTCCAAGTTTGTCACTAAATTTTAATTTTAGTCTCCCGACTAGGGGATAAGCGTCTTGTTGGATGTTGCACTATCTTTTTAAAAGCATTCGAAAGCACAACATAGAAATCATTGGATAATTGTGGATAAAGTAGAATATGGGGACAAAATTATAGTGTACGATACAACGCATATAATAATTATCGTAAATTTCATTAGCAATACTCACAAAACATTTTTGCTTTGAAAAAAACAATTGATTACTAAATTTCAGTTTTTCTCAATTGAATCAGTGAATTATTTATTTATTTTTTACTTCTTAATCAGTGAAAAAAACATTGTTATGGAATAATGATGAAAAGCATTCCTATTTATAAAAATACTAAGTTGAACCGTAGAAAGAAAATATGGAATAATGATGAAAACCTTAGTTTATACGTAAAATGTCTCAAATATCGATATTACGAGAGATTTTATATTTTTTTTCTAAACTTGATGACGGAACCTATTTTCTTATTTCTTTGAAGCGATTAATTGAGAAATAGCAAGTTTCATTCTGCACTTTCCCAGAAATGAGGATTAATTTGAACCACACATTATCTTAACTTAGCCTATGTTTGACACCCGTTTTTTTGGGTGCAAAATTCATTCTACTACAGTAAATTTCCACAAAAAGTGTGTCAGACAAACAATTATTGCCCAAGGTCAAAAAGTGTGCCAGACAACCAATTAATGCCCATGTTCCCGTTGAATCATCTTCTGGTTTTGCCCTCAATTTGTACAAGTAGATTTCCACAAAAACCCTCAACCTTTAATTCACGTGAATACTGTTCCACATAACACAATGGAAGGGCGATTTTGGAAACGACAATTAAATTAGTGGGAAGGGAATATTGTTTGACATGAAATTGATAGATTGTCTGTATTGGTCCCACGAGATTTGAAAAAGTTACTGTAGAAAAATGAATTTTTCGAAAGAAAATGGGTGTCAAACGGGGGCTTAATTCTAAGTGGAAAAATTTGTGCTGACGCAATATCTTCTTCTGTGCATCTCTTTCATGATTCGTTGTCACAGACCCCAGTTCATAATAGTTACATTTTGGTGAAATTGTCTATATCCTTTGTTGGACAAATATGGTGCAATTATTTTGCAAAAACTAAAATGGATTGTTTTTTGAGGGATCGACTGTTCAGAATTTTTTGAGAACCACAAGAAACAAATTAGAACAAAATTGAAAGACTTCAAGAAAGCTTAACAAAAACTTCTGATCAAAATATTCAAAAATTTTATATTAAAGATAAATTTAAAATTTTTGTTACGGCAAGTAGAAGTGGTTACAATTAATGTTAAATAACTTTTTTTTCTAAAATTAAATATAATAATTATTAGAAGTACTTATTTTTTTTTTTTCAAAACAATACATGGTATTGGTAGAGTTGTCTTGAGTGTGGATGGTCCCGATAAGTGACGAGGAATAAGAAAAAAATGAGTGCCTTAAAGAGCACGGTGGAAAACCAGGTCAATTTCAACACCCAAGACCGTGTACCAAGTCAACTTGTCATAACATTGAAGGGAAAATTGAAGCGAAGGTCTCTAACTTATTTAATTGGTGGAAACAGATCCCAACTTTTTTTTTATTTTCAGTTAACATTAAAATTCAAAAGTCAATAAGTAAAAAGGACACTCGCAAAGAGAAAAAAAAAACCAGACAATGTAAAAAGTTATGTCTAGATTCAAAAGTAAAAAATATTTACACGGAGTGACTCAACAAGATTCCTTATGCATCATTAGATGTGATTTTGTTTATTTATTTTTATTTCAAGGAAATAAAATACATGTAGGAAGTATTATTGAGATGTAGATAGATTTTAATGTGTTTTTTGGAATTTTTATATTTTTTTGGTACAAATTCATTTGGATCATTAGGTAATACGATGATGGTCTAGATCGCATCCTACACAAATGTGACTTATATTATGCATCTCTTGCATTTGAATAGTCATACACAATTCAAAAAGGATAAAGTCACTTGTACATCATCCTTGTTGGCAAGATTTGATTGGTGAAAAAAATTTTGCTTTTTAAAATGTCCAATGGTTGTTTTGGAAAATCATGACTCTTACATATGCACTTATTGTATTTGAAAAATCTCATCTTGTCACCGTATTCAACAAAGACTTGTTTCAATTCACACATTAAGATCAAAAAACAAATGAAATTATTCCTTCCATGAACTGTTTAGATGAGATGTACAATTCATTGAGTCACATCATTTTAAAAATCTGAAATATAACTTATGCGATTGGACATTGATTGTGATAATATTTTGATCATATTCCATTCATTTTTGAATTCAAATTACATCCAATTGTCTCCTAAAAATCTTTCAACTCATCTTTTGGTCCAAATCAACTACTGAATATTTGCAATTTGATCCCCCAAACTTAGGATTTTGCCCATTTTTCACCAAGTTTCGCTTCTTTCTTTCAATATCTCGTCCAACCATTAAGTTTTATCTATATAACATAAAATAAAATAATTTAAAATATATTTTGTCAAAAGAATTATCAAATATCGTTAATTTAGACCCCGAATAAGTGTATAAA